CATCTACTAGCATATTTAGCTGCATCTACTAGCATATTTAGCTACATCTACTAGCTTATATAGCTACATCTACTAGCTTATATAGCTACATCTACTAGCTTATATAGCTACATCTACTAGCATATTTAGCTACATCTACTAGCATATTTAACTACTCCACTGACTCAGTTCTTCTGACGGTGAAGCGATGAACAACCTGAGAAGCTCTGAGTGTATCAGTGTCTCCACAGTAATAAGGTCGGCGGTGTTTTGTTGAAAGAGGTGGGACACAATCTTATTGACCTTAAATCAGACACAGAGTCCAGACAAAGTCTTAAAGTCCTCCATCACTGAGCTTGGGTTCATTACAGAGAAAATCATAAAACTGAAGATGAACAAATATATAAAGCTGTGACCTCCATACACCTGAACTCATCCCTGATGTTCTCGTCACTGTCTTCAATCCTCCTGAGGATCCGGCGTCTCTTCTCCGGTGGTTTATTGTCGTCCAGACACAAAGTAGGATGCAGGTTTTCCTCCGTCGGCCGTTTGTCATCAAAGTGAAATGAGCTCACATGCAGAGTTTAGGTGGTCTCTTCGAGTTCAGATGTTTCATCCACGTTCTTCTTAATTCCTCATCTGTAGGTAGGAGATGAAACTAAACCTGTTTTCACAGGAACTCTTTGTTTTGGTCCGTGTTCAAACTCTGTTGTTGGAGCCACTGATTTAGTTTGTTCTGGTTGTTCTGCAGCCCTGAACACAACAGGTACCTGAACGCAGCACGGCTCTGTTAGTAAACTTTATGGTTGTTAAATAAATGTGAACAAAAACAGTTTTGTCTTTTAAAGTGAATACAAATTACTTTCAAATAAACTGCGGTCCGTGCTCGTCTACCATGTTTAACCAACGGTGACTGCTACTTCCTGTCTGACAGGAAGTAGTTCCATAATCATTCAGGCAGTAGAGACCCCAGGAAGAAGGTGGGTGATTTTGGCTGGTTGGAAACCAGAGAACTTGGATGAGGTTTGTGCTGATTGTAGTTTCCTGAGCTGAAAACAAACACACCTTCCACCTTCTGGACCTTTGATCGCTCTCGTCTGCGAAGACTTTTTAATTGAACGCAGCAGAAACGAGACAAAAGTCGGTTCTTTAGTCAAGTTCAGCCTCATCCTGACCCCAGACCACCTCCAGTCTGGACCAACATCAGTCTGTCGTAAACCTCTTAATTTTGGGGGCTGCACAATTTTCTCTGTTCGTTATGATTGATTTAATCCCACTCAGATTTTATTCTGTTATGTAAAAGCCTTGTTAATAATCCAGCTGTAGCTTCTGATGCTTTCAAACCAAACCATGGACTTGTGCAACCGTCGCTTTGTAAAAACCGTGAATTTACCTGAGAGGATGTGAAGAAAGAAAAGTCTCTGTCAAGAGCTGTGCAGCCTGTACGATGACACACGTGCACGCTCTTATGGTTTGTTTTCTGCACTATCCTTGTGACTCTTCTCTCTTCTTTCTGCAGTGCACGCTGTGGAAAGTAAGTCCTCCTTTCTTTGCAGATTCTTCTTTTTACCCCTCCAGGCCAGATTATTATATTAAAGTTTTTACTTTGATGTTTATGAACAGAAACTGTTTCAATATTAGGACGCACCTGCTGACAGTGGAACAAAGTTCATTTTTAATGAAGCCAGAAAGATGTTTTCAGGCCATCCTGACGTTTCACTGGGAAATCTGGTAAAGTGTAAAATTAATCTCTCGGATCTTTTAAGATCATCAGATTATTTAAATGTGACACCAAATGTGTGTTGAGCTGAAAGCAGCCACATTATAAATATTATTTATAATATTAATATTATTATTTATAATATAAATATATATATAAATATATATATGCATGTGTATATATATAAATATATATAATTTATAATGTCATGTTAAACCCTTCCCACACTCTTGCTATTCTTAATGTTTCTAAAGTCTAAAAAATGCTCGAGACGGAACGTCGTGATTTCAGCGCCGTCTCCTGCAAGTGCTCTTGGCCACGCCCACTTCTCAGCTGTGCACCTGAACATCTGATCAGCTGTTTAACTGCAGCAGGAAGTTTGTCCTGCAGCAGGTGCTAAATAATTTATTTTAAGTAAAACTTTGCTGCTGATCGTGCGGCTCATCCGTCATCAGCCAACTTTAGTCATTTCCAGTCTTATTTTGAAAAACTGCGGTAAATGACCCGCGAGTAGCCAGGGACTGCTGTAATTCATTTATGGCTCCGTAGGGACCCGATGTTCTTGTGGCATAAAGTAAAAATTAAGAATATCCAGATGTATTTTCAGATTATTTTTTGTTTCTGCTCACGATGTCGGACTTGTCAGTCATCTTGGTTTCCCTGATGAAACTTGTTGAAAAGGCCTTTAATCTTATTGTAAATGTCTCCAAGTCACAAAAATCAAACTGGAGATTTAACTTTAAGCCTCATTTATTAAAATATAGTTATTCAAGGTCAGCTGAAGAAACGTTACGTTTTCTTTAAACACGTTTTAAAAACGTGTAAATAAGGTTTTAGATTTACAACCACAACCTCGGAGGAGCTGTTTTAATTTAGTGTTTGAACTCGCGTCTTTCTGAGTCCCCGTTTGTTTGGTTCCTCCGCAGTACACGACCTGCAGAGCTTCGGCTTAGACAACGTAAGTCCTGCTGTTTCTGAACTGGATTCTCCTGACGGTGGAACGTAGCGCCACGTCCCCCCGTAGAATCAAATCAAGCCGTTCTGTTGTGCTGCAGATCAACATGACCCATCTGATCAAGCACCTGTCGTTTGGGAAAGATTACCCCGGCATCGTTAACCCTCTGGACGGAACCGACGTCACGGCGCCACAAGGTCAGTAACGCCCACCGTCATGACCAGAATCGACTTCTGCAAACGTCTCATCTCAGGAGTTTTACAGGTTCAAGTTAATTTTGATCCGTTTAAGATTCAATCTACTGTGGAAACAAGTGCAGGTGGATGTATCTTGATCGAGAAGAGCAGATGTTTGTAGCCTGTACAGATGTGGAGTCAGAAAGTGGAATGAAACTCTCACAAAGTCTGACATTTTATTGACAAAACTAAAGTGGAAGGTGGGCACATGACCGGACACAGGCGGGTGTTTACAAAGTCCCACGGCTGTAGAACTGTAGGAGGAACTGTAGGAGGAACTGTAGGAGGAACTGTAGGAGGGTGGTGGAGGCGGCTCCTCAGCAGCGGATGCCCATGCCGATGGCCATGAAGGTCCCAAACGTTCCTCCACTCTGCATCATGGTCTTCCCGACTCCTCCCATCAGCTCCCTGCCCCGCATGCCGACCCTGCAGACCCAACGTCACGTTAACGTCTGCTACTTTAACAAAGCTGTGCGTTACTCAGATTAAATACTGTAAAGTTTACAAGTACCGATAATGTAACTCCTAATTCAACTGCGTGTGGAGTTCATGTTTATTCAACTTCTGGAAATATTTCAGTCACTGATTCTTATCAAAACTACTTTCTGTGGAGGCACATTACAATTTCGTGATATTTCATAAATGTGACCAGCTATTGGTAATTTGGTGTTTTAAAATATGTAAAATAGAACTAATGTTTAATAATCTGTTCATCTTTCTCTCAGTTGAAGTGTAACATTTAAAAAATACAAGTTACAAACGGAAGAAAACGTTTTGTTGGTGGAAACAACCTTGGGCTGTTTTGTTGTACAACCACCTTCCCACTCGTTCTTTCTGCAGTTAGAACGAACGAGTTACTCAAAATTACCTGAGGCAGGAGAACGTGCCAAACATGGCGCCGGCTGCCATTCCTACGGCAAAGCCCATCATGAAGCCCATCTTGACCCGGTCAAAGCAGCTCGGCTGCGTCTGGCCGTACGGACCAACTGCTACAGGCATCTGACGAGGACGAAATGAATAAAATACAAACGTTGTTTGCACCAAATAAAAACCATTTGACCATGAGAGCATGAAAAGAACAAACTGTTTTACATGGTAGTCTGGATTATGGAAGTAAAAACCCTTTGCAGCAGATGATGGCGTGGCCTGTATGGATCATACAGCTCAGGTCACATGAACTAATAGAACAGTCACAATGTTATTTTTCAGTACTTTGAATAGATTCTCTCGTAGTTTAAAGACAATTTCTACACAATTAAGTGACTGCACGGCTCATTTTCTCTCATCGAAGCTCCAACTTTAGCTTTAACACTTGAAACCACCAGAATGACTCTGCTCCACTCGCTTTTAAATGGTTTCTTCTCAGAACAAGAAAGTTCTTTACATCCTGATGCTCAACAATCCAGGTAGAAAAACGCAACAAGGTAAAGTCAGGTCCTCTGGACGGGTTATTTTGTTGAAACATTTTGTCTCTCATCCTGAGGACTTCCTCAGTCTGAGGTGCTGTATTCAGCTCAGTCTCTTAAATAGCACCTTCTCAGAGTGGATCAACCAGTTTTGCTGCTGACAACCAGAACCAGCTGATCACATGCTCAAGAAGGACCATCAGCCTAACAATGGATCATTAGCACCTGATGGCTGTTTACTGTTCACAGAGGGCTGAGTGATACTAGCAATCACAGCATTGTAAGAGGGGGACAGTTGAACCTGGAGGCTCCACCCCTGTTTAATGATGGACGGTTTCTTTTCACAAAGATGGCCTCCTTTACTCCTCTCTCAAACCATCGTTCCTCTCTGTCCAGGATGTGAACATCTTCATCCCTGAAAGAGTGACCTCTGACCTGGAGATGAGTGTAGACCTCAGAGTCCTGGCCTGATGATGTTGATCTTCTGTGCTGGGCCATCCTTTTGGCCAGTGGCTGTTTAGTTTCCCCGATGTAAGACTGATCACCCTCCTGACACTGAACAGCATACACAACATTACTCTGTTTGTGCCGGGGGACTGGATCTTTGGGATGAACCAGTCTTTAATGTATTTTGGGGTTTAAAAGCCACTGGGACGTTATGTTTAGAAAATAAACGTCTCAGTTTCTCTGATACTCCCTCAACATCTGGAATGGTATAGACTTACACTACTAGAGGACAAATTGACCTCATCTCCTTAAATGAATCGTTAAAATTGAATAGTTTTCATTTGATGCTATTTCTATCTTAACGTGATTCTGGACCTGCCATTGTGTATCTGTTCCTACCAAACCCAGCCGGTCGAAGCAGATGGTCCTCTTGTCCTGATCCTGCTAAAGGTTTCTTCCTCATGAGGGAGTTTTTCTTTCCACTGTCGCCTTCATGCTTGTTCAACATGAGAGTTAAACTCAAAGCTGCTCCTCAGATAAATAATTTTTAATTATTATTTTATATTTGAATGTTTCTGTTCAGGCCCTGAGACGATTCTGTTGTGACTTGGAGCTTTAGAATAAACTGAACTGGTCTGAACAAAAGACGAAACATTTCAACAAAGAAGAATCTGTCCAGAGCGCCCGACTTAACATTGTTAGAAAAGTTCTTCACCTTTTCTCTTTCAACCTGCCGACAGATTTGACTGTTCTCCCTCTGACTGGTTTATATTCAGGGACTATTTTACTACTCTGTGCAGCCTGTCCCAAGTGTACTCGTCAATGTTTACATGTAAACAACTTGGAATAGTTGGCAAAGAAACATTCATCTGCAGAAAGAAAAGCAGGAGAACGTCAGCGTACGGCTGGCGTTTATTAATTAAGTTAAGTTTGTGCAAATACAGAAAACAACTTCAGTGTAAATCAGATGATAAAACCCTTAATTTGTTCAGTTTCTGTAGTTGGTATGTATCTTGAGTTTGGTTAAATATTAAACAAATAACTTGTATAAAATTCCTTATTACTGAAAATGTTCTGTTTGCCTCAGATAATAAATTTGAATAATCCTATCACGCTGGTTCAAAGAGCACTGAAGAGTAAACAGCTGATCTTTACGTCGTCCTGATCAAGTTACACCAACAATTCAAATAAACCACCTATGACGGCTCTTATCGCTCAGATATTGATCATCTAAAGCTGATTTAGTCAAGATCCTAAATGATTTCATATGGAAAAATATGGAATTCTAACAGGAAAGCTGTTTCATAAATGAGAATGAAGATTCTCAGCACAAGCTTGAAAGACGTTGGCGTAAAAGGTTTATTTGTTTAAAGGTTGTTCACTTTAAAATGACTGAAATAGCTCCTAAAGCTAAATATTTAACACATCTGGTATAAATGCATCTGCAAAATGTTGCAAATATGGCTAAATTATACAGAAATACTTTAAGCCTCAATGAATGCAGAGGCACTAAACTACTGCAGATGTATTTCAGTGTCCCCCCCCCCCATCTCTCTGATCTGCTACAACCGTATGTCCCACCACGTTCCCTGAAGTCAGCGGACCAGTTGCTCCTCACAGTTCCAGGAACTCGTCTTAAGTGCAGAGGTGACAGGGCCTTCTCTGTAGCAGGACCAAGACTTTGGAATGAGTTACCTCTGCTTGTCAGACAGGCCCCCTCCCTCTCAGTTTTCAAGTCCTGTTTAAAAACTCACTACTATTCAGCAGCTTTCAACACCAGATGATCTGTGTTTTGATCCTGTATGCTCCACACTGGTTTGTCGTCATTATCTGCATCGTTTTTACGTCTATATTCTGATTTACCTCATTTTGTATTTTGCTTTGTGTGTTACCTGTTGTTCTGTCTGTACAGCACTTTGGTTGGCCTCGTAGCTGTTTTAAGTGCTTTATAAATAAAGTGGTATGGTTTGTATTAAACATATTTTACAGCAGCGTTTTATGGTTTTAAAGTAGATTTGGGCGGTTTTAAAAGAACAGTAAGTTCAATGTAGAAGCTTTAAAATTGTAGGCTTTAAATAATGCATTTTTTAACATATTGTCACATTTTTCTTTGAAGAAACATGGAACATTGATAAACAGGTTTGTGGTTTGTTAAAGGACCATCCAGCTCCTGTTGAGTCATGAAGCCTAAAGACAAACACGGAGCTCCAGGCCCAGAGTCACCTTTGACCCGATCAAATGTCTGAAGATACATTTTAATGCACCCACGTTGTGCTTCACCGTTCCAGGTGCCACACTGTGTCTTTAACACCAAAACACGTGTTTGTTTGAACTTAAATCCCTAAAATCACCCCGTTTACTTTTATCAGCCTAGTTTGTTGTTAGCATGCTAGTGATAGCTTAGCATGCTAACGTCACCTTCGGCCTTTGAAATCTCACGTTTTCGCTTAGAAAATGTTAATTTCTCAACAAATTCAGAAGTTAGTTTAAAACCGGCCTCACCTTGAGTTATTAGACTATAACGGATTCGGTGTTCCGCCTGCTGAATTAGATCTTCTTGTACGTTTTGAGCGCAGCGGCGTTGAAACGTCTTTTCAGCAGAGCTCTACAACCGGAAACAGGAAGTGGAGAAAACCGGAAGCTTTAAAAACATTTACACCCTTAAATAGCGCCACCGTGTGGTTCATTTAACTCATCCCACTTGTGAACGGTTTAATGCACATTTATTAACGTGTTTCAGTAAAAACTAAATGTTTGTTTATAATTTTTATTGCTGATAAACAGCCGCAGTTATTCAAACACACAAATTATTGTGAACAGGTCTCTCTTGTAAATGAGTCCTCATCTTGAGGTTAGTCTGTAAATAAAGGTTGAAAGAAACAAAAAGAATAAAACTTTTTTGTTCCACAGCATCTATGATGTACCAGTACTTTGTGAAAATCGTTCCGACCATATACGTGAAAACTGACGGAGATGTGAGTCCAACTTTATTTTCACGCTTGTTTTTCAAGACTTTTATGTAAAGAAAACATACATTTATTGTAATTTATTGGAATGTAAAGGTTTAAAACAAACAAATTTTATTACTTGTTTTGACCTTGTCAGTATGTGTGTAATATATCTTTTTAATGATATCGATATGATGCACATTCCTTGGATTTATGAGTGTTTTGTGGTCGATTTTCTTTGCAGGTGGTAAAAACAAACCAGTTCTCCGTCACCAGGCATGAAAAAGTTGCCAACGGGTTGATAGGAGACCAGGGGCTGCCGGGTGTCTTTGTTTTATACGAGCTGTCGCCCATGATGGTTAAATTCACAGAAAAGCGCAGGTAAAGTAACAGTGTGACTGTAATTTAAGTCTGTTAAGCTGAATGTTCATAAATGTTTGAACTTTTCTGTTGCTTCTTTGAGGCAGTTTTTGCTGAGTAATTTGTTTCTGTTCGCTCAGATCGCTCACGCACTTCCTAACCGGAGTTTGTGCCATCATCGGAGGCGTTTTTACAGGTGGGTGATCATGTTTTTACCTCCAATGAAACAAACCTAACACTAACTGCCTGCTGTTCTCGTGCAGTGGCGGGTCTCATCGACTCTCTCATCTACCACTCGGCGCAGGCCATCCAGAAGAAGATCGAGCTGGGCAAAGCGTCGTAGCAGCGCCCCCTGCTGGCAACACGGACTGAGACGCTGACGGGGACAGGAGGACAGCGGGGTGGACAGACAGAGACACAGATGGAGGGAACGCACTTTGCTTTCTCTCCATCTTTTTGGTTTAAAACTGTAAATCCAGAGGGAGGCCCAGGTTTTCAGTCAGCTGGGATCCTCTGTAGAGGAGCTGAACAGAAGAACCGGGCCAGAATTGGACTTTAGGTCTCGAGGAGACAGGAGGACCCATGTTGTCTCCGACTCCGGCTCCTGAAGCTTCAGGTGGAGGGAAAACAAAAAGACAGAACTGCTGATTAAACCCCTGAATGTTTGTGAGGAAATCTGACGAGAAAGAAGAGTTGAGTTTTGATCCATGTTCAGGTTTTTACCTCGTCTGACCAGTTGCTGCACAAAATCACTGGGAACAACTGGGAGGGCCTTTGCTCCAGCTTTTATAGAAGACGTCTTTTGGGGTGAGGATATTTAACGTTTCCTGTTGTCAGCTCGCTCCAAAAGAAGGAACCATTTCTGAAATAAACCATTTGTTGTTGGAACTCCTCATCGAAGATGTTTTTGTCAAACTTCCTGCAGAAAGACACAAAAAGTGAGTTCAGCTCAAAAACTGTTTCCTGTTGAACAAACTCAACAAGAATTGACTGAAAATCACTCGAACCTTTGTCTCTTTGAGGCGAACCAGTCTGCCTGAGACAGGTTCGCACTTTTTCTGAGTTTGTTGACAACAAGAAGGAAAACACGAGCGTTTCGATTCTGACGTCACTCGTTCAGGCGCGAACGGTGGTGAAGCGGAGTCGGTTCAGGGCCAAGTGAGACTCGGTAACAAAACAACATTTTTAGAGTCTGGAAGTTTATGAACCGATTGTTGTGACGACAGATCGACTGAACTCCGAGTCCAGTCAAGACTCCGTTTCATTCTCGGCTCAAACCATGGAAAGGTTCTGGTTCTGATCCGACGGGCTCACAGAATCATTTGAAGTTTGTTCAGAGCTGAAAAGCTGCTTCTTTCAGCGCCGTTTTCATTTTTCACCCACGTCGTTTGTGAGCGAGTGAACGCGTGACGCACCCTCCTGACCACACCTTCCTGACCACACCTTCTTGACCACACCCTCCTG